GCCAGTTCTTAACCATCGTGCCACTCGGCTGGCCCTAAAGTCATCTTTTTTTTACATACTGTATATCATGACAAGTTGTTTTCCATATTTTTTAGCATTATGTACAAGTCACTTTACTTTTTTGCATCTGATTGTTTTGCTAATTTTAAAATAAATAATACAGCTTATTTATACAGTAAGAGTAGATTATTATATTCTCTTTTCTTAATTTAAGAAAAATGCCTCTTTTTTCTATTTAGTATAGGCATTTGTATAGTTATTCAAGTATAGGCATTTGTCTAAAGAGAATATTTTATTTTTTAAGTTTTATTTAAATTATAAAACATAAGTGGGATATGCAATATTAGAGATGAATCAAAGTGGATTCATTGATTGTAATTACATGTTTCTTCCAACACAGCCTAATATTATTTGATAAAAAATGTAAGTGAAAAGCATTAAAGGATCTCCAAATATTAAAGTGCCCATATTTTAAGAAACAGGTTTCATGATAAGACATTCAGTAGGATTTATCTTTTGGGAAAAGAATTTTTTTTGTCTTTTTGTCATGTCATTTGGGTATTATTGTTCTTTAAAAACCAACTGATTTCCTTGACATTATTGTAGAGAGGATGCAAATATTAAGTTTATTAGAATTATCTGATGAACTTCAGTAAGACTCTTGAGAGCAGGAAAGATAACTGGTTGTGTTTTAATTTGATTATGTGCTTAGTATTGTTGTGATGATACTGGCTCAGTAATTATTGTGACTGCAGGATTGCTGAGTGAGTGAGCCATGCACCCTCGTCACTCTGTGTCCTCTGAGTCCAAGCATATCATTTCAACTACACAGCCATAAAGCCAAAAGAGCTGACAGTTGGCTTGTGATTATTCCTGGACCTGAGGCTCCCTTGCATTACAGTACTAATCAAGTCATCTCACCAACTTATCATTAACTCAAATTGACCCACGGGAGCAGAGATGAAATCTTTTTTGGCAAGTCTAATGATGTTGTAAGGTTGAAAGGATGCGCAGTGTAAAACCTTGATTATTCTCACTTCCTACTAGTAGAAAAGCAAAGATAGAAAGCATCAATAGGGAAAAGTAAAAGACAGTATCTTCCAAAGACTTGAAGTGTTTTCATCCTCTAAAGGATATCTATGTGTTTCTTTTCCTTTTTACTCGTTTTAATTCACCTTTGTTCAAAAATTTCATCTCAATTATTATTTTGTTGTGGTGGTTTTACACTAACAAATATTTTCTCTGACAGTCAGAATTCACGTTCCTTGTGTTTGTTTTTATAAAAGGAATGCAAATTGTGCTTTGCAGTCAGCTTCTAGGATTTCTGATGGAAAGGCAGCCAAGAGCACAAAGCTCCTGTCATGCCTGAGTGTTCTTAGTTTGTGTATCTTTGACAAGATCTTCCTTTTTTTCTTGGCAGGAGCTTTGGGACATCTTCTATTTTTCTCTGACTGACAGCTGGATAATAAGTTTTATCATTAAAAACTGATTCTAGGGAAATATGATCTCTGCCCTTGATTCTCTTGTAGCTGCTAAAGCTTTTGTTTTCACAGTTCTTTCAGAATAACTAGAGATTATCACTATAAAAGGACAAGGATATTGACCTGTCATGTCACGTGTTGTTTAGCAAGTACCAAAATATTGAATTCCCTATTATCTGTTATCTAGAACCACTTATTAAATCATCTAGCTGTTGAAAAGTGACTCAAAGTCAACAGGTTTTGACTGTTCATGTTACCTTTATTGTTCTTAACCTTCAGAGAATTATTAAGTAGTTCTTTTTATCCTACTACGTTGAGCTGAATATTTAACATATAAATTATTTCAGGCATAAACCCCATACTGGATCTATTTACAGTTAAGTAAGGGCCATGATATGTTATTTCTTTATTTACCTGTTAATTCTATAATACTGGTCATAAATGTGATATGTAGATTTTCTGTCATTTCTTTTTATTTTATCTTGATATCAAGTAGCCTTTTCTACTATAATAACTAAGAAATTGATTTAAAATAAAAAGAAAAGGAATTGGAAAAGTTAGTAAACCTGACTGATCAACATTTGGCAGGAAAGATAAACCAGATTACACATTTCTCATTGCATATGCTTTTTTTCTAAATTGAATAGGTGTTTCCTACGATTTATTAGCAATGAAAGAATGAATAAAGGAGAGCTTTATGCAAATTTCGTTGTATTTCTGTTTACAGAGCACTTAACAAGAGGAGTTAAGATTCATCATTTAAAGGGTAGAATAGGAAAGGACTAGATTTTGCTTATACCAGGGGTGCCAAAAAAATGTATACAAGTGGACATTTTGGTCCCCGTTGCTCAAGTAGTAGTTCACCTAGTAGTTCACCATCATCAGAAGCGCCTGGACGCCGATGGTAAACACTATGAGCACCTCTTGTAATTGCAGAAGTCAAACTTGATTGTATTTATCTTTTTTTCCAGTATATATTTAATATTACAATTTTAATAGTTTTTTCCTTTTATAAAATGTATATACATTTTTCTGGCACCCTCTGTATACACATGTATACATACAAATGTGTGTATGTCTGTATATGTATTTGTGTGTGTGTTTACTTTCTGTGTGCGTTTCTGAATATGCCCCTAGGTGAGAGTGCAATTATATTTTAAGTTGCTATTTTAGTAATAACAGCATAGTTTTCAGCATTTATTCAAGGCGTTGAGAAAAATATAGATTTAAATACCGTATTGACTTTGTAGATACCGTATTCTTTGCCTCTTGGAAAACTATTTCTTTCCATAACTCTTTATCTGTATCAGTTAATAAAGTATTAGTTACTCAAAGTATGATGGTGGTTTACACACAAGGTATAGGATTTATAAAGCTATTCTTTCCTGATTTTTAAATGAGAGTTTTTAATATAATTTGTATAATTCTCAATGTACCTACCGTTTAAATACAGAAAAGAAAATCCTCACACCAAGTGAACCCTATGTATTTTTTACATAATACTTAGTGAATATATCTTTTGTAAACTCTTAGAATTGTAAGAATTGAGGATGTAGAGCTACTCTCCCTTCTCAGTGTGTAAGCTCTCTAGGTATTGCTTTTCAAGTTGTATTAGAATATAGGGTGAGTGCAAACTGAAAAGTGGGATAAAATGAAAAGATGGATGGGAGAAAGCGACTTCTTGGAAAAAAAGAAATTCATAAAGGGGGGAAATGTCGGATTCAAAATAGGAAGTCTATGAAAACAATAACCTAAATACTAGTTCTAAAAATTAAACAGAGGAATAAATGTTTATTGGTGTTTGCTCTCATTGCTGTATGGGAGATTTTTATTCATATACTCCAGGTATTTGTGGGGGAGGGGATCTTGCTTTCTCATTATAGATGCTTTTAGAACAAAGTATGGCCTAACTTGAACATGGCCACCAAATTGCATCTGGTTGTTGCCCAGCAGGCAGCAAAATCACATTTATCTGGGAATCTTAGGATGAATCTAACTGAACTCCCTGGTCAGCTGGTGGGCAGTGGTGCTGATGACTGTTTTCAGTGTAACTAGACTGAACTGAAAGTCTCTCTTGTGGCTGGTAAGCAAAATGTTAGCACACAGCTGTTAGTAAAACGTTAGCACATATAAAGAGATGTTTTTAATTGATTATAGAGATCCACATATTTCCCGCCCCCTGCTTACAATACTTAAGGTAAAACACAGACAACAAAAGTGATAAAACAAGGAGACTGGATACTGTGAGCAGTCAGAAGACTGGCAGGCAGCATTTCAAGCCTAAGCACTGGATTCCACCAAAAATTAATTGGCATGTACATATATATGTATTTTTGTAGTTTTGAGGTTTTTTAATTAAACCACCACAGGGTATTTCCCATCGTACATTAAATACATTGAACTGGAATCCCAATTTGGATTTGCCATCTGTGTACCATGCTCATTATTTTTTTCATAACTGAGGTTTTCATTTCAAAAATCAAAATTTATAAAAATGCTAAATTTGGCTTTTTTGCATTTCTTATTTTTCTCATTTTCCCCCTACTGATTTCCATTTAGCAATAGCATTGACTGTCTGAAGTGAATTATGGGAGGCCCCAACAAGGCCTTGACCTTGGCCTTGACTTCAATCTCTTTGTCAAATCAGTGTATTAAAGTTGTGCTGTATATTGTTTTGTTTACTGTGTAGACTTTGCCATGACCATGACTTTCATGGAGTAATTATTTTGATAAAGTTAGATGATTAAAGTCAGTCTTGCATGAGGGAAGAATACACTTGGGAAGCAGTGATGAATGGACTACAGTCTTTGGAGTGTTTAGTTCCACCATCATTTTCCAGTTGAATGAAAATTCACCCTCTAGTTTGGTTTGGGTGACAATGAATGGATTGTCAGACCTGAGCATTTCCTCAAAAAGATAGAAAGGAATCAAGAAGGATAAATGACAGTGTGAATATCCACATGTGTTCTTGCAATTTTTCTCAGATATTTTTCTGCTTTGATGAACAACATCATTACTGAAGTAATAAATGTTAATTAATAACTGCATGATTTTTTTGTAAATGGAGGTTTCGTGTTACAATTAGACTAATTAGTACACAGCATAGCTTGGTGACATGACAAATCATAGAGTAGAACATGTTGACTTTTATCCATTTTGATACATTGGCTAATTCACTTGCTCAATATGATAAAAGGAAAGATGGGGGATTTGGCAGTAACAACAGCAACCACTACAAAGGCTTTGTGGCTACATTTTCAGGATTTTATTTTCCAACATGTTCCTGAGTACCATGAATTGTTGACATTTTGCATTTTACTTCTTTTCCTATTGGTAAATCCTAGCCCCTCAGCAAAATGTTCAAGAATAAAATCATGAGTAAATAAAGAAAATGAGAAGAAAAGGTGACTTCCAAATTTCCTTGGTTTACACGATTTTGTCATGCTCAGTGTTTTATTTTCCCAAGGTTATTCATTGTAAAGTTGACTGCTAGCTGTGTGTCTTCCATTTATTTTTCAGAACCTATGCGAACCCCAAAGACTTTAAAGATTGCCGAGATACAGGCAAGACGCATTGCTGTGGACTGGGAATCCTTGGGTTACAACATTACTCGTTGCCATACCTTTAATGTCACTATCTGCTACCATTACTTCCGTGGTCACAACGAGAGCAAGGCCGACTGTTTGGACATGGATCCCAAGGCCCCTCAGCATGTTGTGAACCATCTGCCACCTTATACAAATGTCAGCCTCAAGATGATCCTAACCAACCCAGAAGGCAGGAAGGAGAGTGAGGAGACGATTATTCAAACTGATGAAGATGGTATGCTCATATTTTGTTATTTTTCAAAACAGGAAATTATATAACAGGAATTATGTAAATGCTTCCAGTTTACCCTGGAGGGTGCAAAATTGAATTGGATTATTAAATCTGCTAAATGCTCTTAATAAGGTTAACTTTGGCGTTTGCCTTTAATAAAAAAGCTTAATACTCTTCAGAGAAGCATCAAACTCTTATGAAATGCACCTCTACTGGTTTCTGTTTTCATACAATGTTAGAGAAGTAGCAACTACACTAAAAGTTTAAATAAAGTTTTTCTTACCACTGTTCAAATACAATTTTCACTACTCATGTCACTATAGTTATCATCTATTGGCAAAATGCACTTAGTTAAAAAAAATTAATTTTTTGCATGTTACAGACCAACAGCAGTAGCTTTCCTTTTCCTTACTATTTGAAAAGAGCACTGTTTCCCAATTCTATTCATTTTTAGATGGCTTTATGTAATCCTAAATATAAAAGAAGGTCGAAGTTTAAATAAAGGCCCTAATCAGATATTGGCAAGCTATCCTCTTATCCATCTTTTTACCATCCAATTAATTGAACTATAGTTTGCCCAATTTCTATGTTTGTTACTTCTGAATTATTAAATTATAGGAACAAACATTTATATTAATGTTATCATATACAAACGCAACTGTTATGGCACTATAGTATGTCAATGTGAATATGAATACATTTTCTTATGCAATATAAATGTATCTGATACAAAAAAGTATACAAATGATAATTTTGTAATAGTAGCAATATCGTATTCTTTCAGTATAAGGCATTTCAATTCCCAAATTTCCTTTTAGGAATAAAAATGTGTAAGAGGGTTGCATGCTATATAGGAAACTGAGACAATGCTGAACTGGGAGTCAGGAAGCATGAGTTTTTCATCTTGCCTCTAATAACTCTGTAACTTTAGCAAATCTTTTCACTGCTCTAGTTCTCCACTTCTCTATATCAAAAGTTGAAATTAGATAATTTCTAAGGTCCATTGCTTGCTAAAATTCTTGAATGGCTTGTCAGCAGGGCTACGTTTCTATTTGGGTTTCAGAAAACAGGATGTAATTCATACCCATGTGTTTCCAGTTCCCCTCAAGTCCTGAACTTGAGGCTTCGTTGTAGACGTTGATGCCTACCAAGTATGAGATTGCTATAAAATAGGTCAATATACCATAGTTTCTAGAAATCTCCTTATCGCCTCAAGCTTTCTCACTCTGAAAAGAGAAAATAAAGGGAAGTGAGCTCTTTAACCTTCTATGGCTCAGACTTTGAAGGAAACAATCAATATTGTTTTGAAATTATTCATGGGGTTATTCTCAAATTCCTAAAGTATCAAAGAACAAACCTCAGATTTACTTAAGATAAATGTACTTTTGTCATGTTCGAGGTAAGCAGCTCAGCTATTGTTTGAACTTGAACCTAATTGAAGCAAAATAGCATTTTAAACAACAAACCTTGCTCTAATGCAGAAACACACACTCATATTAACCTATACACACACACACACACACACACACACACACACACACACACGCTTATGCAAGAATGTATAGTTAGCATAGTTGTTTCATAGGTGGGAAATGGGAAATCTAAGCATAGATTCAACAGCCCTGAAAAAAAACTCTATCTCATTTCATAAGTTGGGAAATATATTAAAATACCTGTATTACACTAGACATTTGGTAGCCCATGTTTTTAGTGATAAGAATATACTCACATGCTTTATTGCCTACACTTAAAATTTAAAAAACAAAAATGTCCTAATTGATAATTTTAGATCCAATTACATGAATTTTGTGCTTTAGCCATTCACTTTCTAATAGTATTATACATTTTGATGGTTTTCTTTGGTATGGTGTTTTCACTTACCTTTCTCACAAACTGAAGAATAAAGTCAGTTTTATACAATCATTTTTTTAATATTTCATTAAATATTTAAATGTATTTTAAGGTACACATATATCTAGATTAATAATTAGGAAGTGAATTGTTATGGAATTTTAAAATTATGTCTTAAATTGATTATCCTTATGACTATATTATTTTTTTATCCAGGAACAGTTTTGTAACAGTAAAATGACATTATTTATTCTAAGTTCAATATTATTTTCTATTCTAATTTTATTTTAAACTCTGCTTTGAAGCATATTTTATTAGTGCTGATGATACTGAGTTGCATATTATTATTTCAAAGTATGGTCTCAAACTAATTCCTTCTACTGTGAGTTTATTTTTGTTGTTGTTTTTTCTTTTTTCTTTTGCTGTGTACATAAGATTAAATGATTGAAGTACATACTTTCTATGACATATTTACAAGTAACTCAGTCTTCAAATCCACCCATGTGAGTTCCAGTTTCTACATAGAATGCTTGATGTGTCTTGATGTTCCTGAGGGGGGCATAGAATATCTAAATCATAATCTATGGCTGTGAAGAGCAATGGATTATAATGATCTAATTAAGCCAATCTCACTAAATTATTGCTGCCCTATATACATAGAAAAATAATAAATTGTCAGCCACCTAATAAAATAATATAATTTCATGAAAAGAATTCTGGGAACATCCATAAATCATGACAGCAAAGCAAGAAAGATTTCCTACCAGACCCTAAGGTAGAATTTATATTTAATTTATTGCATACAGTTTTTAATGCATGGGTAGAATTTTTTTGTATGAGATTTTGTTTTCATTTTCTATTCCAGCATTGATAAAAATCAATATTAAGAAGTCAGCTCAGCAGAAAATCCTGGTTTGGATATAGTTTTTTGCTAATACGGAGCTATTTTTAAATGCACATTTATTACATTTTAAAACTTATAATGCTTATTTAATATAATCTTGCCCCACCCACATTTCTTTTCTTTTCTTTTTTTCTATTTTGTGAGTTATATTCTAAAGGTCTTTCTTATATGCAAAAAAAAATTGAGCTGAAACAGCTCTCAAGTAAATCACAAGAAGGGGAATAAAAGTCAGCATTCTGTCTCCATTAAAAGTTGCTGATGTGGAAATGTGAAGTGACATTCCCTGCGATATGAAGACTGCGATGATGGTCTTAGTAAATTCATGTTGTCTAAACATAAATTATAAGTACATATAGATGTCAGTGCACAGACATTGTCTTCCTTCAATTGTAGAAAGTTATTGAATATAATTTTTCTGTACCCATGCCCCATTGTCCCATTTGTTTATGTTTGTGTTTTGTCATTCACCTAAGGGTAGTTCTTTCTCTGTTCACTTTAGTTGTCCAGGTGCTATATAAACAGTATGGCATTGTCTTGGCCATGATTTTCCCACAGACTTTCCCTCTTAGATATACGACCTGTAGGTACTTGAAATTAGCCCTATTAACAAAGAGGAACATGTGTAAGAAGAGCAGAGAAATACACACACTCTAGGGAGGCTACTCTCCAGTGTTATTCCTCACTCAATGCAGAATTAGGGAACCACTTAAAACCATCTCTATTTTTGAACAATTTGAAATACATCCATTCCATTTTATGGTGTTTATGGGCCAATTTGTGTTTGGTAAACACAGGTACTAAGTATACACCATCAAATAAAAATTTACTCAATTTATTAATGGAGGTCTTGCCTCCTCCTTTCCCCAACAGCCACTTTCTATGAGAGATGTGGAAAGGTGAAGGAATATTTTTTCCTGAATTACAATTGTAAGCTTATGTCATCTGAGTAGAATAGAAACAACAGGTACTCTCTTGGAAAACAGACTAATGCCCAAGGCAGCCTCGGTAGATGACACTTATGGCACACAGGGGCCATCCCAGCCTCTCTACCTTGATCAACTGCACAGCCTGTGCCGATACTATAGACTGGGTAGGGTGTAGGTGAAGTGGATGTCTTTGGTTAACTCCTGCCTGAGACCTCAGTTGACAGATGCATGAACAGATCATGTGAAGGTCAGTGCTGACCTCTTTTCTGTTTATTGTGGGTTTCCTTCCTTTATGAATTTATTATTAATGTTCCAAATTATGTTGGCTGTCCCATAGGTCATAACATCATTCATCATCCCTTTGTAGATTGAAATAAATCTTACTCTTTTGACATAGCATTCAGAATTTCTTGCTGCTGCTAACCACGATGCAATGCATTTCCTTTGATCCAGTGATTTTTAATTTATTTCAATCCTTACAAAATTGCTTTATGCTCTGAAACTACATTTCTAGATAATGTCATGTGTGAAGCTCACTGAAATGTAATATTAAGGAAAAATATTAATTGGAAAGCATACTTCCCCAATATTAGGTCAATATTTTCAAAAGAAAACAATTTTAAGCAAAGTAAGATGGAAAGGATATATTTTAAAACATTAATAGAACAAGAAAGTGGTTATTTATGTGAATAAATAACTATACTTAAATTACATGTATAAAAAAAGACGATAACAAAAGTATCCCGTATCTTGTATCTTGCCAATAGAAGCTGACACATCATTTATTTCTGCCATTCAGTGTTGTCAGTTACATGACATTTGCTAATACAGAATGAATATTCCTCAAATCTTGTCATACCGGGGGACACTTCAAAACTAGTTAGACTGATTTTTGAGTTTTAAACAAATAATGATGTTATAAAATGGTTTGATTCTTAGTTTTGAAAAAGTGAATTTCATTTGAAAGACTGAAGCAATGATATTTGAACCTATTTATCTTAACAGTTTTTAAAAAAAATTGTAATAATCAATGTATCTCTTAAATTATAGAAAATTTAATAACTAGCTATAAAAGTCAGATTGCCTATCACTGGGCATTTCAGTTCAGTACTATATAATTTGCCTTTTGCGTGTAAGGAGTGTTAGTTATTATTATGATTCATTATTTTATGAACTTTGTTTATGGAGACTCTTTAGGGGCTTATAATCTTCAAAATATCTGTCAGGGAAATACAGCTCTGTTTATGAAACAAATTACAATTGAGATTTTCATGGTATTAGAGGTATGCAACAGAGAAAAATAGACAACACAATTTATTTAACCCTGTAAAGTGATAAAATACTCTTTAGAATAAAAATAACTTTGTAGTTGTACATTTTTTGCATTAAAAGCTGATAGACTTACTTTAAGTTCCCATATATTAAAGTCAGGAAACTGGTCGTGTAAGATTATTTTCTTTTTAAAGACACATTTATATTTATTTTATGAATTTTTAATTTGGTTTATCTGGCTTACATGATTTACTTTTCCTGTTTCTGATATAAAAATTCTTATAACCGAAATGTATGGATTTATAGTGCCTGGCCCTGTACCAGTCAATTCTCTTCAAGGAACATCCTTTGAAAATAAGATTTTCTTGAACTGGAAAGAGCCTTTGGATCCAAATGGAATCATCACTCAATATGAGGTACTGAGAGAACAAGGAAGTTAATTGAAATGTGTATTGAAGGGAGAGTAAAAGGAAACGGACAGAGGGAAATAAGGGGGAAAAGTAAGTGAGGATTAAGGGGATAAAATCATTGTTAGCTCTCTTCTGCTTTACTTTACATTCATTGATCCCAAAATTTAATGTAAAGACAAACATTGTGTGGTATCTAGAATTTTAAAATTCTTAAAGTAAATGTATGTTTTCGTTGTTGTTTTAGGGAAGCAGGATTGGTCTTTTCAAACAGACTTACAGATGGATGTAAAGAGGGAATTTTTTTAAAATTAAGAAATTTAATTTTATTCTGTGATTTATGGGAGACCATTGAAGGGATTCATACCAAAAAAAGCAAAATATATTATAAATCTGACTATGCCAGAGCTTTATCTCAACTTTGAATCTAAATTATCATATTTTTAAATATGAGAAACTCAAAATAAGGAAGAAAGGATCATTTTAATTGTACAAATGTGTAGTTTTGTTCCTGTGTAGTCAGTGTTGATTAGAGCATTAAAAGCTTAAATTCCTAGTGGCTGCAGAGTGCATGATGGGAATGGAAATCAGTAGTATAGTCTTGTAATTTGTGACTGTATCAGCATGCTTGATTACTGTTTACATGAAATGTATGTAACTTGGACAATGCATAAATTAATTATAACAACCATTTGTTGAACACTTTCATTGTTTCATATGCATTAAAATATGTAACTATAAGATTATGCATTCACAATCTTTGATAGACAAAAATAGATGTATATTGGTCCAATCAGATATACCTCTAGGTGTATCTGTCGATAGATAGATGATAGATAGGTAGGCAGACAATAGATACAGAATAACAGCTCCATAACCATATCAAAATGAGAAGAAAAAGAATTGAAAAAAAAATGTGATTCATTCCATATAGATGGCTTTGAATGACTTATATTGGCTATTTAATAGGAAATATATTTCTTAAAACAGGTTAGCTACAGCAGCATAAGATCTTTTGATCCTGCAGTCCCAGTGGCTGGACCTCCACAGACTGTATCAAATTTATGGAACAGTACACACCATGTCTTTATGCATCTCCATCCTGGAACCACGTACCAGTTTTTCATAAGAGCCAGCACAGTCAAAGGCTTTGGGCCAGCCACAACCATCAATGTGACAACCAACATCTCAGGTATGCAAATAAATAGAGGATTGTTTTTTTAATAGCATGGCCTCGGGAATCACATATACACTGAGTGTAGTTCAATTCCTTATTGAATCTTTAATGTAATTTATGATTGAAGGCACTTTAAGTAATTATTTAAATACAGGTTATTCTTGGTTATATGTCTAAACCCAAATACATCTGAAATAGTTATTTTAATTGACAGCGGTCTTTTTAAAAATTACATTATATCTTTCTTAGTAATCTATTAAAGTTTAGTATCTATGCTAATAGGACTATAATACTTTTGAGGAATTTGTAATTATTATGGTATCATACCTTTACTGTAAATGGATTTAATCAAAGAATGGTAAAAGATCTTTACTATTTTAGCACCACATACCTTGTCTCTCTGTCCCATTTGCACAGACATTCTGATAATTGTAAACAAATATGAGCTTTTCTTTCTCTGAAATCTCACATAAATTTATCTAAATTTCAGAATGGCAATGTGTTAGGTTGATAAATAAATATAATTAAATTTACATAAATTACGCTAATAATTTCATAGTTTGCATTTGAGTAGATTGTTTAAAGACGTGGTTTCTCCTTCAATCAAGTTGTCAATTAGACCTGCTTAAATTTTTGCCAAGAATTAGCATTGTAAAAATGCCCTAAATCTGCTCTAGCTCATGTAATGTTTTATATTATTTGTTTACAATTACTAAAATAAATATATAGGTAACTGAAGAGTTAAAATTTAAAAACATCAACTATTTAACATGTTAAAATTAAAATATTAAAGTACTAATTTTGAATTTCTAAGTTCTTTTTGTGTCTTTATGTTTATTTTTATTATATTTCTACATAGCACATATGAATGGTGTAATACATCATTAAAAATTTTCTACGGTTGTTCTGAATCGGTAAGGAAGCAGTAGAAGGAAGCCACACAATCTTTTTAAGTCTGAAATTTTATTTGAAAAGATTTTTTATATAACACAAAACTTTGAAAAATTGTATCATGAAAAATCAGCTATAGTTTCAGTATGAGCTGTGGTTCCTTTGTATAATATTTGATTTATATTAATATCCTAATAAAGAAGAATATTAAAGTATTCATCATGTTAGAAAGTAGCAATGTATTAAATTTGCTAATTTATTTCCTAATGGAACAACTCTAAATCATCAATTTAAAACGTTTGTTGAGTCACTTTACTATAAAATATGACTTGGTGATATCATAACATACTCAGACATGTTTTCTACCCTCTAGAATTAGCAATAGTGCTATAAATGAATAAGATCCTTCAGCAGAGATGTGTACAAAATTTACATAAACTGTAAAACTGATAGCATTGAACAAATGGACATTATTGAGAGCCATAACAATGGTTCTCATGTGGTTTTTTGTGTTGAATAGAAAATTTATAATTAACTACTGAACACCCATTTAGCATTTTCTTAGAATTATTTAACTGCAGTTTCACTCGAAGCAAATTGTGTCCATGGTGCTTGATTTGAACTTTAAAAACTTGGTGTGATCACTCTATCTTGGGAACATATACTAATCAGGCTCAGGCTGATAAAATTTAGTTGCGTATGTAGTTCTAAATGTGACTTGAACTTTTCAGGTAATTTATTGTTATTTATCCATTGAGTCCAGTAATTATATTCCTTAGCATTTTAAAAGCAGTTTAAATAAACATGAAATAAAGTTATTGAAGGAGTGATACTTGGGGGCATTATTTATATGTTTGTGTGTATGTATGTATGATACATATATATGTAATATGCATATATATAGTGTGCATATATAATATCTATAGATTCTAATTCCTAAATAACACTTAGATAATTTGCCTCTTTATAATGTCACTATTCCTGCCTTTCTATCTGGACCATATTTTAAACAGATCGTTGACAAATCTTCCTAAGCAGTATCCGTGCCTTCAGTCTTGTGTTGCTCCAATGTATTTTTACATTGGTCTTTATACAACATATATTTTCTTCTCAAGTTTAATTTTTTTTCAAAATCTACTATATGGTATCCAGAGAGATAACACCCACACATCCATGCATGGGTAGCGTTTGTGGCTCTTCATCATAGATAGAGCTCCTTCCATCCTGCAGTCCTACCTGTGCGTGAGCACAAAGCTCCAGGCTTAGGCTACTGCTTATGGTTGTTGGAACATACCATGCCCTTTCACATTAGGTGTCTTCAAACATACTGCTTCCTCTCTCTGGAATTTTATTCTATGCTTTCTCTGCCTGATGAGTTTTTATCCTAATTTTAACATCCAGCTCAAAGCATCACCTAAACCCTGAAGTCTTCCCTGTTTTATCCTCTCAACCCCCAACACTGATTTAGAGTAGTGATTCTTTAAGTGTGGTCTTCTCCAGGGAAACCCGCTAAAAAAACACGTTACCAGGCCCCTCCCTAGACCTACTGGATCAGAAACTCTAGGAAAGAGAGGCAGCGAGTTTTATTTTAAGAAGCCCCCCCCCCCCCGGTGCTTCTGATCTCACTAGCTTGAGATCCACTCATTTGGCAAATTAACATCTTTGTCTTTTGGACACCTAACATTTTGCTGTAAGTTTTTGTAAGACTCTCACTCTTAATAAACTGTGATCCTCTACTTATAAATGTCAGACTACACTTTATTTTTCTTTATATTTATAGCAATTATAAAATTTGACACATAGTATGCATTTAATAAATGTTCAATGAATGAGTGAACTAGTTAAAAAAATTCTTAGATGCCATTGGTTCTGTTATTATGATAAGGCACACATTTCACAGGTTATATGCTCCTTCAAACATCTTTCTGCATGGAAATAGGCAAAAGACATTTGCACTTACTTTTTCACCCAGCTCATGATTAGGAAGTCCCCACCCCCCAAACATTATCAAATATTTTGAAAATTGATGTTTCTTCTTTTCAAGAATCTGGCAACTAATATACTAGTTCGTGGTAAACAAAAACTAAAGTTCCCATTTCCATTTGGCACACTTCCTTGATGTGTTTCTATTGCAACTATGCTGGTGAAAATAGACCCAGATTTTAATGGGGTTGTTTCACAACCACTAGATTATAAATAGCACCTCCTCACCCGGCAGTCCTTACCTCAGTTCCTGTCATTCCTATCTCCACATCTCCACGTGCAACTCCACGAGGACTCCAGAGTCTGTACTGTTACCATCTTCATCCCATCCCGTCATTGCTGATTTCAAGGCCTCAAGAAACTAAAAGCTAAAGCATCTTCACAAAGTGTTTGGAGTGTGTGTCACAAGTTGCCAAATTATTATTTAAATGTCAGCAACTCTTGGTTTTATATGTCTTGCTGCCTTAAGTTCCCAGGGTTAACATTCAGTGGCATATGTTATTCAACAAAATAAGGTATATTTTAGATAATTAAGTACTACATTGATTTTTCCTTCAGCCAGGATGATTTATTCAACCTGAACTATCATATATTCCTGTTAATTGATTGAAACTTTTTTTTTCCCTTATCACTCATCAGCTCCAACTTTGCCTGACTATGAAGGAGTTGATGCCTCTCTCAATGAAACTGCCACCACAATAACTGTATTGTTGAGACCAGCACAGGCCAAAGGTGCACCTATCAGGTAAGAGGAGGAAATAAGAGTTAAAGGAGAAAACAGCCAGTAGGAGGGATGTTTTCTCATAGTTGCTTAGCAGCCAATATAGTGAGTGGTTCATTTCTAAGAGATGGTCATTTGACATTTACTGTCAGAAAGTTTTATTTCTGTTTTGTTTTGTCTTTGTTTTTCATTTGGACAAAGCTTAAAGATAGACTTGTAGTTAAGAGTAGAATACTAAGGGGCTTTTTGAGATATTCATGAACTGAATCATTCACCTTGCTGTGCTGTTTGATTTAAGAGCTGCTCTTTTATTTATTTTTTTTTCTCTAGTCCTATTTCATTTCACTTCCTCTATTGGTATCTATGGTATATGAGCTGTGAAGGTTTTTGTCAGAAATAGAATGAGAAAATACCTCTGGTCCAAAGCATAAAATCTGTTCTGAATAATTTCATATGAATGATTGAAAAATAGGAAGCTTTGAGGAAGTAAAAGGAGAATACTTATAATAAATGTAGCCTATATGACCTTTTAATTCCTAAATGACTGCTTATCCGGAATTCCATAGTAAATATTAAAATTCAATTTGCTATTTCCTTTATCTTTTCATTGTTAAAATCTCCCATAGTAACCTCCTCTTGCATAAAATTGGGAGCCATGTTATTTTCAGGGATTGAGTGAAATTATTCCAACCATTTTAATTTATGTACATTTGTAATTAGATAAGTATTTAAAACTTAACAAGTTTCCATTTGAAATTTTTAAATTTTGTAAATACTTTGACTTTCATACTTCTATTGAGAAATAAATCAGGACATAAAAATCAGTGCAGGTATTTCATAATTGAGTTTTCTCAAGTAGTTTACATTTTCATTTATTAAGAAATAAAATTCATCTTCATTCTATGTGTAAAATGAATACATTTGACCTTATAAGTACATACTAGCCATTCAGGCAATCCTATATCTATCACTCTAAAGAAAGAAATATTTTTAATTATATATATATATATATATATATATATATATATATATATATATGTATATAATATATCTATCTATGTGAGTTCATAAGGAAACTCTTGAGCCCTGTCTGGGTTAAAATAAGAGGAATACCACACCACAGGAAAAAAAGAGATGACTGGATACACTTGTAATATAAGTACTTGTAAAACACTGGCTCCTTGAAAATGCAAAGTGCTATTCCTGAATCAATGACCTGTGAGTGAGTCTGATTGCTGATCCAAAGGAGAGGGAGAAAATGCCTGTATTCAATATCTTTTTCTGTTGATAAGTAATCAAGATCACTTACATGTTCCTACCTGTGATGAAATTTACTTTGTAGGTGTTCGATTCTGCTCCTGCTATTTAAATGAGCTGCCATGTACTTGCGTTTATGTTTTAAGAGTTATATTCAAATGAATTCAGCTTTACTTAATATAAGCTGGAAACAGTATATTATTGTTGCACAATTGTGCTACATATAACTTACACTAATTCTTTATTCATTTAATGAATTTATTGTACCAACATTGATTGGCCATGTGTTATGTGCCGGGCACTGTGCTAAACACTGTAAATCAAAGATAAAATGATCACAAACACAGAGCCTGGATCCAGAATGTCATGGACAATCGGAGGTGCCTGCAGCCTTCTAAATCCTTTGCTCAAGCTGGTGCTCCGGAACCTTGTTGAATTAATAAACATGCTATCAATAACATATTTTAAAATCAAAACTCTTTCTTCAACTTTGTTTAATTACTTATCACAAAATTTTTAATGACCAAGAATTTATATAATCTGAATTGATGGTTATGCAAAAATAACCCCTGAAAATCATATAGCCTCTTCCTCCGACACAGAAATTCACCTCCTTGCATATATTGGAAAGACATTTGAACTTTTCTGGAATTGAGCCCCATGTGTGAGAACTCTATATTTTACATGTTGGAGATTAGTGTTCAAAAAATAAATTTTAAACCAGAATACTACAAGAAGAAATGATTAAGTGATGTATAAAAACGATGTGTTTTAAGAGAATGTTCATAGCAAGGAGGGAAAACCTCTTTTCCAACTGATAATCTCATCCCATCTTGTCCATCTTTAGTTTTTTGTAATGACTGACCAGCTATCTGGTATCACCTACAGGTTGGGGCCAGGTGGCAAAGCCAGACTAGTGTGGTTGGGCAGTTTGGCCTCAGATCAGCCCTGCCCTCTTTGCTTTTTGAATCTTTCAGGATATGGTCCTGTCTTCTTTCCACTGACCACATTCCTAGCTTTGGTATTGTCACCAGTAATTGATGGCTTATTTTGAAGCTTATCTTGTCCAATGCTCTAATTTCTTAGAAAATGAGGACCCAAGTTGTAGGATTTTCAAAGCATTGTGTTTATGGCCTGGTCCTTCAAATCTTTGATTGCATCTTCAATACTACTTTCAGATTCTTGAAATTCTTGTACTTTCCACCCAATTTCTTTGTTATTTATGTCAGCCTATCAGAATCTCTTCTTTGCTAATGCTTCTTGCCATTTCCACTCTGTGGCCCATCTCCTCCCCTCCCAATAAAAGCCATGCCGATTTGCGCCCCAGCTAAAACCCCCGAGAGCAGCCATCTGTTAGCTTTGCTATCATAGGCTCTAGTCACTGGGTTCTAGCTTCCCCTACTTTATAGCATAGCTAATCTCTGCCAGACTGTGTTTCACCATCCATTTTTCCAAACTCCAGTGGAAATACCTGATTCTTTCTTTTCTTGCCTTCCATATGTCAAACAAACTCCAGTTCCAAAACCCTCTGTCATAGCACCGGTGAAAATCTTGTTGGGTAGAGTTTGTCCATTTAGTTTAGTTTAGTTTTGTTTAATTTGAAAGGTAACGTTACCCATGGTTTCTGTAAATTCATTCATTCAATAACATTTAATATGTGCCAGAAGCCAAGCTGGATACTTGGAATAGAAGACCACATAAGGCAATTTAGGGCATGCCCTCAAGTGCAGCAGTATATTACAAGGGAGATAAAACATGGTTAAAAATAGACCTTGTTAAAGATAATGCCAGGATTTCAAGATTTGTTATTCAGAAACTGGTAGTTCCTCTTACAGAAACAGATAAGTCATGAGAGACCTGGCCTGTGTGTTTAAAGAGTGAAGAGATGGAGAGCAAAAAATACAATGTCCACGACGACAATTAAACCTTTACACTGTAGATCATCACAGTGTTGACTCTGGGGCAGTTTGAGAATGGTGGCAGTGAGATCCTGGAAAGTCTGTCCATAAGAGAAATAACTAAACACTGGAGCTGGGGAGTTTCTCCTGAAGTTTTAAGGAGATGTTTTAGATAAAAACGAAAAAGTATACGATTTTATAAGACTTGTTATTTGATATCACTAAGAATGTGTACAAGTTGAAATTATAACCAAATTCACAGATTTACTTACTAGTTGTGCTAAAAACAAAAAACTCCATGGCAGGCTGTTAGAGGTAATTTTGGGTTCACCTCCAACATTTTTAATTATTAAATCAAGAGAACTATCTACCACATGTATATGATATGGCCTTTTGAGCTAATGGCAAAATCCCTTTGTATAGTCTTACAGTTTTATAACTGAAGGGAAATTGTGTATTGAGATGTCATTATCTGGCTTCCCAGAAAACTAAGAATGACTACATTCCAATATTTAATCAAGTTAGATTATAGTATAGAGAAATCATTTTTAGATTTTTAATATAAGGAAATCATATTTTGAGTATTGAGTGAAGATTCATAATGCTAGTATATTGATTTTAACTTAATTTTAGAAATATTTTAAAACATAATTAAAAGGAATGGGGAATATATGAAGTATGGGTAGAGTGAATTAAACTCTTCAGGTGACTTTGAAATATTTTAAATTGCTAGAGTACTAAGCTTGAATAATATTTAGATCTAGCTACAGTTAAGTACCATTAGGTAATTAGACAAGCACAAGGATGAGAGAGCACAGACCCATTTCATGTAATCAGTCAAACCACTTCTAATTTGATTTCTCATTACTTATTTTCTGTTCTTAAATTAATTTGTATTGATAAATAAGAAAGTAGCAGGGGGAAAAAACAGTTTAGAAAAAGTGAAAGTATGTGGTTGGAGAGCAGCTCGCTCAGACAAATTGAACAATGAAGGGAAGATAATTTCTTTTAAAAATGAATTTAATAATTTTTAATGTGGGGTTCCATCTCAAGTTCAGTGGGATCGTCCCAAAGAGCAAATAGCACTTTTTCTTCCTTCATTTCTCTCCACCATCAGCAGTTTGCTTTGCTCCTAGTAGACCTAGAAAGATAAGCTGCTTTGCGTGAAATGTCCTAATTTGGAATGTACAACTTATGTCAATTTAATAGAATTAGTTAAGACTGAATGTGTGCATATGTGAATTTATCTACATATATGTATCCACAGGATATGCCAATGCATAGCATACAAATGTGTATTCTAGATTGAAAATAAACAAATAAAAAAAAAAGACCAGACCAGGTTTGCTTAACATGGCATATGTCAGCTATGATCTTTACTTTTTTCTCTTCAAAGGCTATGCTTATGTATTTCCTGTATTTTAAAATTAGCATATGCTTACTCCACTGACCTTTCAGAGAGCATGTATCTTGTAATACCATTCCTAGGAGCTTAGAAACCCAATTCAGCAGAGATATAGAGAATGATGCAGTATACATAATTTCAAGTAATATAGATTTCTCCCTTAGTTACTTGCCCAAATCTCAATTTCTGACATTCATACATTTTCTATATTTCTAAAAAAAAAGGAGATGGATACCAACTTACCAACTTCTCAGCAATATTTTAATGGGAACTTGAGTAATTAAAAAGAAAAGAAAATCTTTAATTTGTAAAGCTCCTTTCTTTTAAGCTATTGGATCGTTGGCAAAGTCATGACATATTTTTCTATGTGTTTCAATTTAAAAATGTGTCATGACTTTCCCGACAACCCAATATGAAGGTCTTATGTTTACAGGTAGGTATAACAGTTTATATTAAATTAGAATTTTATACCAGATTCTAAGCTGATATAAATTTTAATTTTTAATTGTCATAGATGAAAAATCAATCTCCCCCCTCCTCTCATGTGTGTGTATATGTGTTGTTGTGGGTTTTTTTTTATGAAATTCATTAAATTAAATATTCTTTTCCTGATGGAGATCCATTGACTAGAGACTGTATTCAGTGTACACAATGAGCATATTTGCCTGGAGACTCAAGAGTCAAACATGCAGCCCTACACACAGCTTATTTATGAGTGTATATGTGATAGCAATGGATTTTCTAATATTTTTCAGTAATTTTGAAATATAATTGTTTTAAATTCATTAGCAATATATAAAAACATATTAATAACATCAAATTTCTTAGGTAGACATTTCCTAAAAGTGTTTGCCTAGAGAATGTCCTACAAAGAAAGAATAGTATTTATAATAGTATTTATAAATGAGTTTCAGAAATTGATAATAAGCAGATCTTTAAAGTTGCATTTCTTTAATTTCCTTATTCTCTTAAAATAATAGCTATTGTCGGAAGGTTTAAGACTTTTAAAAACGGTATTGTAAGGTTTAGGTTTGAGCTTTAATAGGCCAATTGCCATCTGTCTCTACAATTTGTAACATTTTATTATTAACAACTCTAGAAGAAGGAGTCAGTCTATTTCGGTGGTGAAGACAGATTTCTGTCCATCTGTGCCCATATTTGCAGCATGTCACTTGTGCTTTAGATCTGCATAGCTGTGAGCCAATGTTGATGCCGTGGCAAGGTCAAGAAGTGAAGAAGCCTGTCAGCACATTCTGTCTCTAACATGATGACAACTGCAAACTGGTGCTTTGAGCTCCGCCCTGAGGCAGCCATTCTGTTGGGCCTTGGACCTGGGCCTTCCATACTATCATTTAAAAGGAAAATGTTAACTTTAAACATTTAAAAATATCAGACAAAGAACTTAATTTATTATATGTCTCTGATTACTATATCAGGTTCCTTATTAGGGTGACTTTCTCAACATTTAAAAATGTGTAGTTCTATGGTGTTCATTTTATGTTGTTAACTTTTTTTCAGTCCCTTAGTAACTACATTGGGGTTAGAAGCCGTGTGAAATTCTATTTTATTGAGAAAAGAATGTAGTGGGTTCAGACTGACTTTAAAGATTTTGTAAGTGTTGCATGTCACTATTAAATACTTGACTGACACATCTCAGTATCTAGAATCTTAAATTTGTGCTGTGTTTTCTTTTTCACCAAAGCGCCTATCAGATTGTTGTGGAAGAGCTGCACCCACACCGCACCAAGCGCGAGGCCGGAGCAATGGAATGCTACCAGGTTCCCGTCACCTACCAGAATGCCATGAGCGGGGGCGCACCCTACTATTTTGCAGCAGAGCTCCCCCCAGGGAACCTTCCGGAACCTGCCCCATTCACAGTGGGGGACAACAGGACGTATCAGGGCTTTTGGAACCCCCCTTTGGCTCCACGCAAAGGGTACAACATCTATTTCCAGGCAATGAGCAGTGTGGAGAAGGTAAGCTTCCTCCACAAGATGCTTTCACACTGCCCTGTGGAAAAGCTGCAGTTGAAGTTTATAAACATGCAGTAGTCTTTGTCATGAAAAAACAAACAAACAAACAAAATGATGTAAAGGGGATGGTGTTTCTCTTCCCAGCTGTATGCACAGTTTTGGGCTGAGGCTCCTTTATAAATTACCTTGCACAGGATTTCTCTTTTCTTGTTACTGCTTCTGAAGAAGTTAAGCCTTCTTCAGGGGAGCCCACATGAGCAATTGTGAACAAAATGGTTTGGAAAGGTGGGTGTGCTGCTGCTGGGACTTGAGCCCGAGTAAATTCTGGGCATTGTTCTGCCTTCTTGCTCAGTAGTAACGCACTTTGTAAGATTAAATTTACTGCAGGATAAACAGAATGTGTGTTCCACAGCAGGCTAATAAACCCTTATAAACTTTTCAGGAGGTACAAGCCAAATAGTAAATAACAAGTAACAATCCTCTGATTACAAAGTAATAGGACGCCCGTGGTCTATCTGACAGAACCTAAACAGAAAGCTGCCTGGAGATGGCTGGATGCTGTGCCATTAGAGAAGCCTGTTTTCCGTTTCTCTGGTTGCTCCTCCTTTTCCCATTTTGGACACAGTTGTTTTTTAGCCCTGCCGCTGATCCCAAATGAATATTGAAGAAGAAAACACAACAGGAAGTTAGAAACTACCAGTGGTTCCTTATGTGGGGAAATCACCTGGTCTTGCATGCCTCATGCTGTTCTCTTTGAAAGATTTTTGTTTCCTAAAACTTATTTAGTTTATTTTTTTTTCAGATAAAGATAGGAAAACAAAACAAAAAAACAAAAAAAACAAAAAAAACATTGAGAATAGAAAATGTCCACGATTTAAAATCCAGTAGAAGAATGACATTTCTGTGCACTTATGGCTGTATAGGAAATTGCTGGGTTTGGGTAATTGAGTCCCTGAGGTGGGAACTTGAGGGATGATGTGAAATAGGTGATATCCAATTGCAACAGTCATGTTATATCTTGAAATAGTTTAATTGGAAGACATAACAATCCATTTACATTTTTTCAGGGAGCATGAGAACTTGGGGTATTGACTAGCTGCTTTTGAATAAAAGCTCTTTCTGCCTACTGTATATGGTTGGCTTACAGTATATGGCAGAGAAAAATGTCACAGCATCTCATAAGACGTACGTGCCCCAAAGCCAGAGGCTGCTCAGGGTTGGAAATGCCCTTCTCTTTTAGTTTATCTCTACATGAGAGGGAGTCTTTAGAGGCAATTTGGCTGCCCGCTTCCCACTTACACATTATTATGTACTGCTGGTAAAACTGGGCTGCTCAAAAATTAGATGACTATGGACATTACTGTTCCATTCTGGGTATAAAGCAGCATAGTGGTAGAAAACAGTCTGTGTTTGGGTAATCATTTTTAACAAGGTGAGAGATTCCAAACTAACTTTTATTACTTGGTGTGTGATATGAGAGGAGTATTAAATGAGTGTCTGTTAATTATAAAGGATCTTCTCTCACACTCTTTAAAAGCTTTGTTATGAATTTTCTCTTCTAATTGTTCATATATCTACATGTGGTATAATCAAAGCACAAAGTAGCAATAATATATTTCACAGTTATCCTGGCAAAGAGTTTTAAAAGTGACATGGCTCCTACCAGCAGAAGCTGGTAATCCTCATAGAGTTAATAGCAATTGCTTTTAGTAGATCAAAATCCCTTTGGGCCTTTGTGGGAAAGTAAAATAATCTCTTGTAGTTTAGTATGCAGGCCTCGGGTCACAATTAAGTAATAGAAGTGCATGGTTTCATTTTTAATTACTCATTCCTTCTCTGCTTTATTTTATTTAATTTAAAAATAATAAATGCTTAAGAGAAAATTATAAACTCTTGGTTTATTGACATATAAAACTACTCAAGATGGAGATATAAATGCATCTTAAAAGCAAATAGCCTGTTTTGTTCACTGGCTTTAACATCGTTTTCAACCTCTTGTATATTCAAAAATACAAACTGAGTAAGTCCAGAAGTGCGGGCCTGGAAATGCTTTCCTCCTCCGAGTACTACCCCACAACATTAAAAAAAAAAAAAGAAAGAAAGAAAGAAAAGAAACAAAAGATAAAAAAATAGAATCTGAAATAATTTGTACCTTTTTCTATTTCTACTATTTCCTTGAAACCCTCTGCCTAGCAAGAGGAGAAAAAAAAAATCACACCAAGAAAGATTTAACCCCTAACTGCTATATTAAAAAGAAAAAAAGAACAGCTATATTACACTGCAACTGTTATGTAATTTTTGGATGATCTTTCTAACTCCTGCCACTGAGCTCTTTAGTCATGCTAGGCTCCACGTGAGTGTATATAATGACCAGCTTTGGTCTGAGTGTACAGCTATGAGGTGAAAACCAAGTTTATATTTGGATCTGATTTGTATTGGCTTTGCAAATACATTTTTCTTTCTGATTGTTTAAAAAGTAGAATAAATGCAAATAGAATGCCATACTTCTTGTTTCAGACAAGATAGCCTGCTTCATTACAATGTGAAAACAGAATCTAAATCTTCAGAAAAATATTGAAAAATTTTAAAGTTCTTATTTTAGATTAAAAAAAAAACCTCTCTGAGAATACATATAAAAACATTAAAAGTTTCCTTAATACTGCAATTTTATTATTTATAAACCTATTTTATAACCCCCATTGAGCTTCATAATAGTTATAGTTTATGAAATAGGAAACATCATGTACACTGACTATTTTCTTTCATTTTTACCTCAGGAAACTAAAACCCAGTGTGTACGGATTGCTACAAAAGGTAAGAGGTTTGCTTTTTATTTTTTTTCAAATTCCATTTGCCCGCTTTCTAAAATGAAACAGCTTTGGTCCCTGCTTCAGGGCTAATTACACGTGTCACTTGTATTACGGAGTATTTGTAGTAGGACCCCATTAAACGGGCAGCCAAGCCCTCTGACTCACTTGGGTGTGTTTAACATGTAATGGGGTACTACTTTCCATCCTACAGTACTTGACCAGAGGAATCTTGTTATGAGACTAGGAAGGATTTAGAAAACCTTAGAAGGGTTTATTTCTGCCATTTAGGGTCTGAAAGGTCTTGTGCTGCTGATCCACCAACATATTGTGAAAGGCTCAATGATATCAGCTCAAAATAACAAGTTGCTTGTCTAAAAAATGGTGTTACTTCCTGTGGTAGACAACCTAAGATAAAAAGAACCGAGCTAGTCCACAGGTAACAGCATAGGTGTGGAGACTGGTCCATATCTTCATCAGTAGTGCAGTTTCATTGAAGATGCTTTACTTTTTTAAAAAAATTATTTTTATTATTATTATTATTTAATCCAACTGATGCCAAGAAATTAGATCTGTGCTCACTAATGCGCAGGGCAATTCCTGCTGATATTTCATATAATAGCTTTGTTGCCTAGTTTCTTTAGGAGAAAACATTTTCATCTTTGAATAAGTGGGAGAAAGTCACCAACATTCACTATCTTTATAATCCTTTATTTAAGACTTATTTAATTGTGTCAACAAGGAAGGGAGAGCTACTTGGCGTATTCTAACAATAGAAATAAGAGAAAAGCTGTCTGCATGCAGATGTGGGGCCCTACAGAGGGGCGCTCCGGGTTGTTGGCTGCCAGGATCAGTGTTAGACCCACATTAATGAGCAGTAGTTGATTCGCTGGGGGTAAAAATGAATGACCAAATTCTGTTTGTGTTGGCATCTCTCCTTTCATCATTTTTCTCTATCTAATCATCAATATGCTCAATTAAGCATTTGTATTGTATGTACTCTTGCTTTGTTCAGGCAATAAAGACTTTTTTCCTTAACTCATGAGAAGTAACAAAGAAACTTCATTTAAGAGAAAAAAAAACTTTTCAATTTAAATGCTATGATTCCTCATGATATTAAAAAATAAAGCAATCCTTAATGAAGAGAAAGAGCAAATATAGAGAGATGCATATGATATGTAAGCATTTACTTTATTTTAAAAACTTAGCTTATGGATCAAGAGTTAGAGTTGAAATTTTTAGAAGATAATGACAGAAGGCATTTAGGTATATATATCACCTGTACTTTTTCAGATTTAAAATAGAGCCAGTAATGTAAAATGATCTTGCATCAGCCTCCAAGAATTTCTTTAGATATAGTGATGCTATGTTTCTATAACTGAGAAAAGATAGCTATAAATGATTCTAAAATTTACAACTCTCATATTTGGTTATTTGATTATTTGCATTTATACAAGCTGATTGTCATATTGTCCCTTTCTCAATACAAATAAAATGATGATGAAAAGTATTATATAATATTTAGACTGCAGGAAAGGTGAGGTTATGGAAATCAAACTTCCCATGTGGCATAAAATATATTCCAGAAATGCAAGAGTAGTAAGAAAGAGTCCATTTGTGATATTTTCTTCTTTGTCTAATAATTTATCCTGCTATACTCCTGCATCTCAAGTTGACAATATGGTTTAATGAGTAAGAGAAGAGAACTCTGGCCCTGGACTGGGTTCAAATCCTGGCTTTTCCCCTTACTGTTGTTTAGCATTGAGCAAATTTTTTAACCCCTCACCCCAAAATGAGAATAAGAGACTACCTTCCCCTTACCATTATTGTGAGGATTAAAATAGCATATATATATATATATATATATATATATATATATATATATATAATGGAATGGTTGAATAATACCAATTCTATTGTGACTATTATATAAGTAAACTATTATTTTATCTCCATAATTATTGTAATCATTTTGTACCTTACTTCAGAAGAACATAATTTGTGTTATATAGTTATGAAAATAGTATGTATGGAAACAAAACTAAATTTTCATGATAGAGATTATTTGGGGGAAAAGTAAATCCCTAATGTTTCTATCCAGATCTAATGTAATTCTTTCTCTGAGCATTTAGCATTTTTCCACATATGAAAAACCACACTTATCAGGGTAAAATCAACTTATTGTGTGACTAAATTTTGAACTAACAGCATACTACTATCATCACCTTTGGTATAAAATTTCTCAATGTGAAAATAAATAGGTTTCTGGCAGGGTATTTTAGAGACACACGTAATAGCCAAAATAGCAAAGCAATATCAACTGGGAAGAAGCATGAAAAACCTTCTGGGCAAGGAATGGTTCAGTATTTCACAGATGTATATACAGGTAAAAATCTATTAAACTGTATTTAAATGTGTGTGTCGTGTTGACTTAGGGCCCTGGAAATTCTTATGGGGTGTGAAAGAATTTAAAAGCCAAGAAAAACTAGCATACATAGTAGAATAGCATGATCATTTTGAAAATTTTTTTGACATGGGAGAATTATTCTAAAAAATTTCCAATGTAATAGACTGCTTCCTGCCTTCTTGAAACTCATACTGATTGCAGCCATCACATAAAGAAGGTACAGACATTGGCTTGACTATTAAAAAATATGTACGTGAAGTAAATAATGAACATCATTATGTCTAAAACAAATAATGATGTGAATACATACTATGGGACAAGAGAAGAACTTGCATTTAGGTAAGAAGTCACTGAGAAGGCATACGTCAGGAATGGAGTGGAAGGGTTTATCTGAATTATACTGGAAATCATGAAAGTCATTCCCTTTATAAAACAGCATATCCAAAACCAGAATTGTTATACAAAAAGGAGTTTAGTCAGCTGTATCTTTGAAAAGCGAAAAGGAGAATAAGCCTCAGAAAAGGTTTCTGTGTTATATTGAGTAAAGGTGGCAAACTCTTGAAGCTGAAGGAGAATAATACTGATTGCCAACTATAAATAGATAGATAGATAGATAGATAGATAGATAGATAGATAGATAGATAGATAGTCACTGAATATAAAGTACAGCATAAGGAATATAGTCAATGGTATTGTAACAGCTATGTACGATGTCAGGGGTTATCACTTTGTGAAGGGCATAATTGTCTATTACATTGCTTTTTATACCTGAAACTAAGAGAGAGAGAGAGAGAGAGAGAGAGAGAGAGAGAGAGAGAGAGAGAGAGAGAGAGAGAGAAAAGGGGGCAACACTGGAAAGTCACTTGTATGGTGAAGTGGAAGCACTGTGAAAGTTGCATGCTTTATAGACTGCTTGATATTGGTTTGCAATCCATCATTTTACATATAATTTATAACAGTGCTCTAAATTGGTACACACACACAATTTTTGTAAATAGGCAGCTAAAAGCCTTGTGTTTTGCCATAGTGTCATAACAAATGTATACTGTGATAATTTCATTTTCTTCTTGAGAAAATTATTTCAATGATAAAATTTACTCCAAGGATTTTCATATGTATTTTACTAAAAATCTTGCTTTATCCATATTAAACTAACAAGAGATGAATTTCAATTGAAATTTTATTTATCTCATTCAATAATATTTAGCATATTATGCCATTTAAAATTTTATAAATATATAGTCATTTATGAAACCATGCACTCATTTACGTAAAATTCTTCTTCTTCTTCTTTTTTTTTTTTTAATTGGGGAAGGGGACCAGCCAAGTTGTTTTTCTTCAATCTAAGTTGTAGAGGGCGCCAGTTGCCATCTGGCTGCCCATTGGCAGCTCATGGCCTCTGAGCTCAAGGTGCTGTGTTCAACCTTAGTTGCAGGTAAGCGTAGCCACCATCCCAAGCAAGAGTCAAACCAACAGCCTTGTTATTAAGAACACATGCTCTATCCATTGAGCCATCTGGGTGGCAGCTCAGCTCAAGGTGCTGAGTTCAGTCTTAGTTGCAGGTGTGCGTAGTTATTGTTAGGAGCAGGTGCTCTCACTAGCTCAGCCATCCTGCCACCTGTTGGCAGCTCAGTGGCAGCTCAGCTCAAGTGCAGCATCACTGGCCCATGTGGGAATTCAACCGGCAGCCCTGTTACTTAGAGCTCGCGCTCTTAAGCTAACTCTTAACCGAGTCACTCAGCCGACCCCTACATAAAATTATTCTTAACATAGAGCAGGTATTGATAACAAATCAAGATATTGAATAACTTCCTAGAATAAGACTAAGAAACAAAATCAATAGTATGAGAAGTTGAAACTATTTGGTTGTGTTCAATTTCCCCCTTATATAAATTTCTGGATTTTTGGAAGAAAACTTTACTTAAAATTTAATTTTAAAGGAGATTTCTATGTTGTTCAAATCTGCTCATTTAAAAATAATCTGACATTCATTGATAAAAGCTATAAAATTGATAGAACAGAAAATGTTTAATATATGCAAATTTATTTGAACTTAGCATTTAAAGTGAAAGGGAGGCTTTTTTAAGTTAACGTAATATGTCTATATTCTATATTATGAAAAACAGTTAAGTTCTCCATTCACAAATGGATTTTATTCCAAAACTCCAATTGTAAACAGTTTGCTTTAACACACTCTTGCCTGTCTACCCATTAGCCATTCTTTAACTTCTTCCAATTTCATTTGGATATCGATGTTTTCATCACCCATATAGCATGTATTTATTTAATATCTATTCTATACCAGACAGTGTTCTGGTAGAACATTGAATGGGGAATTGAACAGTGAATGCATAGACCTAAACCTCTGCTTCCATGGAACTTAAATCCCACTAGAGTGAAACATACCAGACACAAATAAATATGTGATAGTCAGATGGTGATAAATTCTTTGGAGAGAAATAAAATAGTAAGGGCAGATAGGGAATACCGGGGCATGTGCCTAACTAAGGCTTTACTGTTTTATATATACTTATCCCAGAAGGCGTTGCCTGTCAGGTGAAGGAAATGAGGGAGTAACCCATGTGGTGAGGGACATTCAA